TATACTAAATTGATTCTCATTGCATCTTCAATATGTCCTGTCCTCTGGAAACGTTTTGCTTTTGTTTCATATTGTTGAGAACAAAATGTTCAAATTTCACTATTTAAAAAATAAAATGAATTTGGCAAATAGGATTATATTTTTTACGGCTATGTCGTGAATAAAATGCTGATATGCCTACAAGAAATCCCATTTGCCACTTGCTGCTCGGCGGTAGTAGTCCCCCCCCCCCAGCCCACGCCCGTCCTTGGGCCCCATCGCCCATCGTCCGCGGCGCTGACGCTGGCTCGCGCGGGGAAAGTGGGCGCCTTCCGGTGCGCGCGCGGCGCGGGCCAGCTGCGATCACGCCTAACACGAAGATAGGCTTTGAGTGGTTTTGTTGAAGTGGTACAACAGTCTCTCTCCTTCCCTCCTAGGAGTTTCAGAAATTGTTGCTACACATTTACGCGATAATTCTGCAGCTGTTAATGAAGGGAAATTAATTCAGCTTGTTTTTGACGAACAATTCGCATTGCTATAGTGTCATGTAGCGCGGGACTATTTGATTGAAGCTGGTGGCGATGTTTAGATAACGGATTTTAATGTAAATGCATAATTTTAGTGGTAAGATACCTGTATTCAATATTTTATTAAAGTTCGTCACAATCTGAATGTACTAAAACAATTCGTATTTTACATATTTGACCTAATACGGCATATTCCGGTACATTGTACTATATTTACATGTAACGTACGTTCTCAAATACAGTTTGAAAATAAATGTTGAGGGAATAATTTTTCTGTAAAACAAAGCTAGATATTACTGTGCTTCTATGACCTTCAGCCATAGGCATGAATTGTCAAATTTCCCCCATCCCCCACTTTTCGGAAATTGCGTACTCTGAATCAAGAAGGAGCTAATATTTGCAAAACAGAAGTAGTCGCTACCTGTACTTTCTACGAGTTCGTAGAGTCCTAGCATAACTTCGTCGGAGGCTGACGAACGTTTCATTGTGTCGCAATCCCCGCCGAGAAATATACTCGCTTGTCAAGAACGCACGTCAGGACCTATTTCTTAAAACCCTTCTCACCGGCGTACTCGTCGGCTTGAGGTGCTTATTTTTCAGGTGTATTACCAGTGGAGAATTTGCCCAGCCGGGACATGGCGACAGGTTAACTAAGATAGTACGTGGTGCTGTATTCAGTTGTGTGTGTGTGTGAGTGTAAAAGGAAAGGAAAGAAGAGTAAGGAAGAAAATCTCGTGCACGGCCGTTTTGTTAGGGATTCGAGGGAGGTTGATCGGAAAATCCACGGAAAAGCACTGATCGGAGTGGCCGGTCGCGAGAATTCTACCCCAGACAATAGTTAAATTCGCCCAGCAATCTAGCTATTGTGGAAAACTCACCATCTTCGGGTCTCGAACTCTGACCCAACTGGTTAACGATACTGCAGATGCAATGTGAAGAATGTAGGTTTCAAGAGGAGCATTGCCCCTCTATTCCTCCCCCCGATTCGTCACTGGCAATGTAGTGGGGCTTTACAGGTTCTTATCATAAACATTGTTCATGCTACATATGTATTTTGTATTTCGTTTAAAACTCGTATTGTTTAGGGAAGATACGTTCAACCAAAATTTATGTAGGAAAATTTGAAAATGCTCGTAAAGATTAATTTTAAATGTATAATATTTTATTTTATATATTTTTTTTCCTACTTATTTAAAGAAATGGACGTGTACATATTTTGCCTTTTTATTACAGTACATTCCGTTGGATAGTAATTTTCCTTAATCACAGAAATTTCCGAGAAATTTTGTATACACTTAAATGTTCTATGTTGTTGATTGAAGTGGAACACATTTCCATTCCTCGTACTTCCCCGACCCGTCTCGGCGCTTGCAGGCGAGCACGGCCCCCGCGATGGCTGTGGCCGTAGGCGGAAATGCACGACCAGGAAGCAGCGGTCGGAGCATAGCCCCCACGCAACGCACCACTTCAATTCAGAACGGTATTGAGAATTCCGGGGCCGAAAATAGCGTTCGCCATGTTCTACTTTACTCGCTATACGTACTCCAATTTGTTGAAGTTGTTAGTCGAAAGAAGGGAGAAAATTGATGTTTTGTAACTAACTCGAGGACTTTTACGTGGATATGACTAATTTATCGTTGTTGGCATTACTTTTTTCACTCTTTATCTACACTTAATTCCCTTCATCCCTCTTCAATCCTCCTTTCACCATTGAGCATTAAAACAGTCCGTCGACGTGGACCTTACCCCGCACCCTGGCGGCGCCTGCCCCCACCCCGTCGCCATGCGCCACGGTCGTTCGAAGGGCCCGAGGGTCGCCCGCCCCGCCCCGCCCCGCCCCCCTCCCTGACGCGGATCGATGCTCGCGTCTTGGCGCGCGCGCGTGACGCACGCGTTACGTCACTGCATCCGGTGTGACGTCCCCCCCCGCCTTCTCGCCTCGCGCTGCCCTCTTGCCAATACGGCCGCCGCCGTTTCCGGGTGCCACTTCGAATTCTCCGAGCAGCGATCGTTCCATCTCGTGGCGCGCGCTTCCGGCGCGACCGGAAGTGGCGGCGGAAGGTGTCGCCAGGCGGCGTTGGCAGCTCTCAGCGTTCGCCAGAGCCCGCCTCCGCGGAGGCTACTCAGTGCGCCGAAGGCGCTGGAATTTCTAATCGGGTCTCGTTTGTAGGAACTCCTCTTCAATGAAGTTATTAAAATGGGTTGGTTTTTCGGTAAATTTTCCGAGCTGGCTTCAAAATGTGTGCCCTTGATCACATTTAGCTTTTTTGTATCACTGTTGGTTTTTTTTCGTCTTATTTCATTTATTAGGCTCTGGTATGTATACTACTTTCGTTTGGTCAGCACTGCTCCAGTGTTTAAGTAAACACGGATGTCTTTTTGCGCTGTTTTGTTGAATTTTTAAAATCATTCTCAGCTTGAAAGACCAACACGAATTAATTTCCTTGCACGATTCGACTTCGCGTCAGGGAAACTTTTCAATTGGTGAGCTACCAGTCAGCTCTTTCGTATCACGCTGGGGTGGCAGTGGTAAAATGCGTGTCGTTTGCAGACGAACGGGCTGGCGATAGTCTGGCGTCTGCTTGTCCCTTAGCAAGTCGCAGTCGTGGATGGTGGCGCACCCTATCGGCGTACGCGAAAAGTTGTGACGCTGAATGGCAGGCGGTGCCCGGAACGGAACGCGAACGCAACAATCCCCTTTATCACCTTCTCGTGCAGAGTCGTTTGTAAAGCGACTGTTGTTTCGTCCCCCGGAATTCCCAAGGCCGAGCTTATTCATCGCCGAGTGCCGCTGAACGGCTTGTCCTGCATTTGCGAGAGCTGCGGTGGCATTGGACCTGGTCCAATGCCGGGCCGCTCCACCGGACGCGTACTCGCCTCCGAGGCGCGGCCCGGAAGATCCTCGCTCCTCTTTCACTCGCTTTCAGAATTGCCAATGCACTTTACACAGGAGTCGCGTCCCCCTCTAACACACTTGTGAACTCCGGAGGTCGGCGCGAGGCGCCTTCCGCTTAATTGCGGGCCACGGCCAATGGCACGCGACGGTGCTGCCTGAAGAACAAACAAACAAACAAACAAACAAACAAACAAAGTGGGGGCAAATCATGCAAAAGCAATGGGTTCTGTGTTTATTTCTTATTGGAAGTAAGCATTTTTGTTCCGAATTTAACATATTGTTATCGAATTGTTGTACGTAATCGTATGTTCTTTGAGGTTACAGCACATATGTGCTTATTCGTTTGGATGTTTTCATCGTGTAATAAATCTCCCCATGGCGGGATGGTGCTCACAAAAAACATTAAATTGTTACTTTTAACTCTGCATTTCAATGCGTATTGTGTAGTTGGCGAGTGCTCATGTTCGGGTGACGTTCAGGTAGGAATGCGTCCTGTACTACACGATAAGAATACCAACGAGGAGTGGATTAATCTTTCAGGAGACAAAGCACATGCTTACGGAACCAGTTGAATGCGGACTTCCAACAATTTCTTAAACAATTTGATATTAGCTCATAAATATGCAACATTTTACCAATTATTTTTTCATTGCAAATGCGTTCTCGTAGTTAATTTTCATATTTTGATTACGTATTCAATATCTGAAAGGGTTTCGGGGACTCCAGAGCTGGATAATACTTAGGAGATCATGCGATATTAATACAACCCTGGTTCTAATAAACGCGAAATATTGACGTCCCGAGGTTCAAGTAGTTATCGGCAGACTCCTCAATAGTAAAGACGCTCAACAAATTGATAGAATATTTCTGGGCTAATTCAGGGCAAGTTAGAAGAGCGTTGACGCGTGTTACAAAAGAGCATATGAAAGGGCATCATCGTAGAATTTTGCAACTCGGAAGTGCGATTGTCGTCGTTTCTGAAGGAAGGAATTTATACTGCGGACTGGGCTTTCTGACTTCAGCTACTCTCAACAAAGCAGTCTCAGATACCAACAGTGAAAGGAAATGGATTTTTCGTCTTCTCTCGTCGTTTGAGTGCGCCGGGTCTGGTCTAGCCTGCTTTGACTTAATATTGGTGTCACTGTTTTTGTGAAAGAACTTTGATTATGCGCGCCGGGTGCATTATGCATGTTTAGTGAAGTGCGAATCACGTATGCACAGTTTCCAAGTGTTTGGTAAAATGGGTTCTCTTTTGTTAAGATTTTCTTGATCGCAGACGCCTCGGTCTCTGTTGCAAATTTCTTCTGACGCCTTCCTTTGTGTATTTGTGTACTTCTACATATCTGCTTATATATACATACACTTGTTAGGAGAAATCCTTGAGTCTGCTTTGGAGGTCTTAAGTAGGTCACTTTCCTTCTATCTAATCTTGCATGATGGGCATTCTATCTGTTTCTGCACTACAAGGAAAAGGAAACCACTATTGGGTGTTGGCTAAGTCATAACATGTAAATTGTGGATTAAGATTTATGAATTGAAGGTTTTCTGAAAGGGAGTGTGAGAAGCACCGGCAGATTCTGTATGTTACATTCTTTCAGGACCAGCAAGGTGACTCCAAAGCTAACGGGAATGAAGATGCACCTTCCAGTAAAAATGGAAATCAACCTGAAAACGCGAAAGCGTCCGTAAGTTGCCTTGCACAAGTTCTAAATAAAAATTTATTTCCGATCTCTGCTCGATACATTTGGCCTTTCCAATTAGTTCAAAACTGTCACCTTTGCAATCTGACACACACAAAAAAAAAAAAAAAAACACAAACCCTGATTCGTGATGCTAACTAAGAATCTTAAGATTGTCGTGTTCGTACGCATGTGGCAAATGGAAGTGTAAAATGACCTGTCAACCTCAAAGAGAAGATCCTATGCAATACAGATGTTTCTTGGTTTTATAAGCCCTTTTTCCAAGCGCTAATCTTGATTTTTTCTGTATCTCTTTTTAATCTATAAAAAGTTAAAACCTGTGAAGTATCAGCTTATTTATCGATCTACTGTAAATGATCCATATGATTCATACTCACTTTGTTCAATAGTAAATTTGTGGTTGGCAAATTCGTTTTGATCGAGTATGGTGGAATTCGGATGAAGTTCTGCTTTCTTCAGTGGAAAATAGTTCTTGTAGTTCTACATTAAATTTACTGCTATGGATTTGTTGCCATTCAGATTCGATGTTCATCCATTTTGAATTCCCAAATGTGAAAATCTCCAGTCCGGCGTATGTCGAAAAAGTCGAGTTTTCATGAAATCTCTACATCTCTACTTTGGGTTGTGTGTTCGCCCCGCCCCGCCCGCGTTGCCCTCGCTTTCTCTGTTGGCGCGGAGGCGGCGCGGGCGAGCCTGCCGCACTGCCACGCCCCCGGAGCCAGGGCGTGGGAAGAGAAACCAAATAGCATCTTCGCTCCGGCCAGACCAATATTAAGATTTGGTGCAACATTTCTTATGCATAGAAGTTGACTTGGCGAAAAATCGCTTTTTTCATGTAGAAGACCCTCGTGTACTCGAGTGACTAAGCATGAAAGCAAATTTGAACAATCCCGAGTGAAGTTTCTTAACAGGCGGTCCAATTGACCCGATTTAAGAACACGACTTATTGAGTATATCCCTTGTATGTTACTTTCAGTGATTACGAATAATGTTTAGTACGAGAGTTCAACAATTATTTCAGTGTTTAGATTTTCAAACAGAGTCCAGATTGCAATACTGTGACACCTTGAATTGAGATTAGTAGCAAGAACATAATCGAATACGACTGGACAATCGGGCAATAAAATAGAAACTGGATAGTGTGTGTCAAGCACCAACGGTTGTCATTGTACCAGAAGAGAAAGTGATGCACTTTATCAAAAATCGTTGAAGATAATATTACATTCCAATAAAGCACAGTTCCCTAGTAATAAGTTTTGAAGCCCGTGTGTGCGTGCGCAGTACCTTTCGCTGTGAAACAGGTGCGACCACGAATGCGTCGAGGCTTGTTGAGCCGGGTTCCGCCAGCAGACCGCCCACGCACTTGGTGCGGTTGCTTCGTGCAATCGTTCTTCATTGTCATAAACACCACGGCGTAATGCACTCGCGACCATTTCTGATCAGACACAAACAGAAAGTTTCGTGAGCTTCTCCACCAATTACTCTTATTTTCACTTCTCTTTAACTTCGAATAAATGAGCCTGGAATTCGCGTCTTCGAATCAATCAAAACTGTGGACTCCATGCTCCAATCATAGTCAAGAGATGGGTTAATGCAAGAGTTTTAAAACTAGGCTGCATACAAGGGGTGACTCCAGTCGATAATCAATTCAAGAGACATACATAGTTTTATATCAAATTTCGAGATTGAACCACACGTAGTTACCACGGCGATTAATGCAGCTTATTTCGTATTAATGGCGCAATTATGTTGATCTAACAGCATTCAGTCTAATAGACTACAGAGAGAAATATAGTAGAATGTACTGCACATGTTCAGTAAGCTATCATATAACTAATATAATTATTCCTGTAGTAATATTCACTAAACCTGTTTTAGTTTTGTTTAGTAAATCGGAGAAGCGTTGCTTAGTAAGCGCACGTTCTCGACAATTTGGCCAATTCGAATGGTTGTAGAGACCGTGTGAACTGCGAGAAATATATGCTATATATACATATATATATATATATATATATATATATATATATATATAGTATTATACCCTTTATAAATGGCGTGTTTAGTATTTTATTGATTTTAAATACTTATATTATAGTGTACACTGATGGTAGAGAAATACCGTTGGCAGCCGTAGCCGTTGTCCGGTAAACGAGGTTAAGGAAGTAGGAGTCCAGCGGGGGACCGCAGGATTGGTGGCCGCTCGTGAAGCCTAGTTGCTCCCAGGCCGAAACATTCCCTTTCGCGTTTCTTCTTAATAGGGCTTGCGGAGCAACCTTTAGTAATTTATGGAAAGGAATCTACTACGACACTAATTGTATGAACTAAATATTTCTACTCCGTGTACCTCATTCCGATTCAGTATCAATATGACTCGAGGGAAAACGTCAAAATGTATTTGAAAAACTCATCATGAGCGAATTATTAACATCGGGCCTTGATTATTGTACATTGCATTGAGACAATTGCTGAAGGTAAATATAGATGCCGCAGGAATTCGTGATTGAGCAGGCCTCGCTGCCCAAACACTGACTGAATTGTTCAGTGCTGGAACGATAGCAGTTACCATCCCTCTAGAACTGACGGCGAAGTCCCGGTGCTCGCGTGCAGTGCGTGCTATCGTGCGAGCGCGAACAGGGAGTCGTACGAGTACGTGAGCGCCGCTGTTGAGGGAGCTTCTCCATGGAAGCTTTGGGCTGCCCGGCAGCGGAGGCGACAGGGCGTCTCGGCCGGTGGCCATGTAGTGGATCCCCGTGCGGAGAACACTTTCGGCGACTCTTCGTTATGTTGTATGCGATTTCATTACACAATAATAATGACTGATAACTTGAAATGTCTGATTTCTATATTTATAACTATAATTTTTAAGGTACCCTGGATCTTACACTTTCAAACAGTTTACTTAACAAAAGTATTACTGGCAAGAAGTTTTGAGTATAAAACAAATGTCAGTAATAAGTTACATATTCACACATGCATTCTTTTCCTTGATCAGCATAGTCATTTTCTTCACTACTCTCCCTATTGTTTCGATGATTCCAGAGCAACAGAGTTTTATGCCATTCTTTTTCGTTCTGTTTATGTGTTGCATTGTGTGTTGTGTAGGAAAAGGGAACATCCCTTCCGGCAGCTCGCTTGAACAAACATCCTTCGAGAGGGCTCCTGCGGCACATTCTACAACAGGTTTACAATCAGGCTGTAAGCGACCCAGAGAAATTAAATCAGTATGAGCCGTTTTCACCAGAGGTAAAGATGTTATCCAGAAGTTTCAAATCTCAATGGATGTATTTTAGGTTTTTATTAATAAAATTTTGTTTTCAGGTATATGGAGAAACTTCATATGATTTGGTGTGCCAGATGATTGATCAAATTGAAATTACAAAAGATGATATATTTGTGGATCTTGGGTCAGGTGTTGGTCAGGTAGTTCTGCAAATGGCAGCTGCTACTCCATGCAAAATATGTTTTGGTGTGGAAAGAGCTGATGTACCATCAAGATACGCTGAGGTAATGGAATATTTAATTCAATGAAATACTAAGTATTTTTTGATTTATCAATGTGTTATGAGTTCTTTTTTGTTACTCCTTAATAATTCACACTAAAAAATGTCTGCAATTGGTGAGAATTATCCTAATATTTGCAATGTATTTTTTTTCTTTTTCTCTTAGAGTATGAACTATCATTTCCGTAAGTGGATGCGATGGTATGGAAAGAAGTATGGTGATTATCGTTTGATTAAGGGGGATTTTCTACAAGATGAGCACCGGGAGAAGATTGTTAGTGCGACAATAGTGTTTGTCAATAACTTTGCATTTGGACCAACTGTAGATCATATGCTGAAGGAGAGATTTGCTGATTTGAAAGATGGTGCTAGGATTGTTTCATCCAAATCATTTTGTCCTTTGAATTTCCGAATTACTGACAGAAATTTAAGTGGTAAGTTTCAGATTTGCACCGTGGTGTTTTTTATTTTGTAAAAGGTTTCCTTGCAATCTGTACTAAAAATATATTTTATGTTTGCTTCTCAGATATAGGAACTATCATGCATGTGTCAGAAATGTCACCATTACGTGGTTCGGTGTCTTGGACAAATAAACCTGTGTCTTACTACCTTCATGTAATAGATAGAGCTAAGGTAAGAAAAGTGATCTATTATTTCTAAGATCCACCTTAGACATAAATACAATACGAGATAATATTTTTCATACTCTTCTTCTTCTTACAAACAGTTGGAGCGCTACTTTCAGGGATTAAAAAATCCAAAAGGCAGGGTAAGCACTTTCCTCATTCTAGCGTTTAGTTTGAAGGCTTGATATGATGTGTAATTACCAATAAAATACTATTGTTTACTATATTATTGATTGTTGAAACAGGGAAATGGAAATGCAACTGCTGCTGCGGCGGCGGCGGCGGCGGCGGCAACAGCAGCGGCAGCAGCAAGTGGGAGGGAGAGAAGTAGAGATGGAGAAGGAGAGGAGGAAAATTTGCCTCCTCGATCAGTTCGTGATCGGGCACGCCGTGACTTGAGCAAGCAACTGAACATTGATACCAGCTCGAACAGTTCGCGAGATAGTGATGATAGCAATTCAGTACCTGGAAGTAACAGCAGTTGCAGTAATAATAATAATACTACAATCACCACTAATGGCAGCAAGCCTGTAACTGGCCCAACCACTCGGAGAGCTTGGAGTGACTGGTGCAGCAGCAAGGGGAAGAGTAGCCAAAGTGAAGAGGAAAACAACAATGGAAATGGTAAGTACAGTGGGGAGTTCTTTTACGTTCATAGGTGGTTAATAAGATGATCATTCTAGTAGATGCATAATTAGAAGATTATTCTGGTAAAAAACTAGTAAGTATTTTATGCAAAATATGTAACATTTATTTTTATTAAGTATCATGAGGTATGAACTTGATACAGATTTGAGGGGTAATATTTGCTTACTTAAAAAGATTGATGTTAAAAGTTATCTGATTAAAAAAATATTAACTAATTGTGATATGAATGTTTATAATAGACATCCGCGTAGTGTGTTTAAAATAAAGCATACATATACATTTAAGATCCAGGATGTTGGAATGCTAAGATTTCCATCTTAATGACAACTACCTTTCAGGAATATATCAAGAAATAAAGTGAGTATACTAGAATGTAAATATTTAAAAAGTCAGTCGCAAATCACTTTCTCTTTTGTAGTCGTAGGTCTGCATGTGTGTACCGAGAAGGCCAGAGGCACACTGTCCCCTTCCCTACAAAAAAATGAGTGTGTCTCCATAGTCCTACGTAATGTAATACTTGTTTTCTGTTAATGTTAAATATGCAATAAATTACTCGCAAATGCATACATTTTAAATTTTACTGTGATAAAGACAAACGGATAAATATATCTATCAATGAATTGTATCTAAATGATTGAGGATGAATTTTTGTATACAGATATAAAATTTGAAGCATTTCTTTGTTTTTCTCGGTTGCAAAAGTTAACACTTCAACTGTGCCCATTGATTTGTTGACTTCCTATTTTCCAATCATTATAATTAATTTTTATGATCAGTAATGTTTTCAACTTTTTTGCAAAAAAAGTACATATTTTTCGCCTATAAAATATTCTTTTGACATGCCTTTTCTTGAAATTGTCTCATGACATATAATTTACAAGTATAGAGTCGGTCAGTTTGTTTCTAAAAGAGAAATAACTTATACAATATATTTTGTGAATTTTATGGAATTGTATTAAGCGAGTAGTTTGCCTGTCTTGTTCTAGGATGCACATGCCTATAGTTCTAGTAGTTTCATGAAAATCATGTTCATTTGGAAACAAAACCACCCCCCCCCTCCAGAAAAAAAAGGTTTTAATGAGATTTATGAAAAAAGTTCAAATTTCTTTAAGCTGTCCATTATTGACAGTTTCATCCAATAAGACACTAAAATTTTAATTAAACAAGTACTGTACTTCTTGGGAAGCTTTTGATCTTGCTGAAGTCTTAAATTCATTCAATTTGTTTGAATATTCAAAAAATTGTAGTTGAAAAAACAATGGTGAAAGCATCTAACAGATTTTAATTCTATATTTAAGCAGTTCTCCTTGTATACTAATGACTTAATGTGTACGCTTTCCATTATTTACTCTTGTGTATTAATTCAGTTTCACATAACACCTCACGCATCCTAACGATTTTTTGTGAGTTTTTTTTTCTCTTTCTCTCTTAATATATTTTCTAAATAATTTTTTTTAATATAACCTCTTTTCTCAGCTTTTCTTGCTATTTTGTTATCTAATTGCTTAAAAAATTTCACTTCCAAATTAAATTTTTCAGCAAGTTCCCATTTACTTCAAATATGAAAATGTAATTGAATTATTCAGGAATTTATTTGAAAATTCGATGTTTATAGCAACTTCCACAGCAAGGATTATTGAATTTTTCACCTACCATTCTGGAGTGTTGATCTTGGAAAATGTTGATTGAATTGTCTGCTTTGAGGCAAAGCCTTGATGATAATTTGATTATGGTATCCCAACAATACTGAACTCCAGTGACTGGCCCAGTGAAGTGCTGTCGTGATGGTTGGTGTTGTGATCCATGCGTTCAACTCGGATCTCAGTGATGTCCATGACATGTTTAGGTGGATTCAAGAAAAGTGTTAAAGTGATTCCACTGATAGAGAAAAGCTTTTTCTTTTTTTTTTTCTTTATGTTGTACCATTGTTAAATATCATCTAGGTTTACCTCCCTGTTTGGTGCATTCATCGACTTTTATCCACAAACACAAAAGGATAATATGTGAATTTTGCATTACTTCATAATACTGAAATGAAGAGGAGGTAACAGGGACTTCGATCTTTTGCCTTTGTTTTCATAACTTTATTTAACACCTAAGTAGTAAATTTTTAAAAATTATTTCTTGTGTTTTATGATGGAGGATTCAACTGAAATGAATGTAGAGCAAACATAGACAAGTAGTTTCAAATTCTCTGAACATTTTTCTATATCATGGACTTTGTGGCCTTGTGCACACTTATGAAAATGTTATTTATGATTTTCCTTAAGGTCATTGACTTAACAACAATTTGTGGGATTTGTTCTGAATTCAGTTTGAGTAAATGTAACACTATTGAATTTTTGTAAATGCTAGAAAACAAACTTCTTATACTCCTAAGTGATTCATTAAAATTGAAACTTTCTACTAAAAAATGGACCACAGAAAAAACTTATTTGGTTTATTTTCTTATTATAGATGTTGATCATTGGCATCTGTTGGTGGCAGATATATCATTATGCAAGGGATTTAATCTGCAAATGACTAGCAGTTTGAAATAAAATGGTGTTACTAATGTTGCAATCTGGGTTGTTTAAGGAAAAGCATCCAAGGCACGGAAACCAAAGAAGTTGAGACGCAAGCTACCTCGGGTGGGGAAACAGTCGCTGCCTGACACATCATGCCTACAACAGCCCCCACAGCCACCACCAGTAGCTCCCCCAACTTTACCACAGCGAACTCAGGCAAAAAGAGGGGTCCGTGGCAGAGTGAAGAAGGGCAAGCCAAAGAAGACAATAAAAATCAATGGGTTGGATTTGCTCCACAGCCAAACTCTCTTGAGCACATCACCTCAAGGTTAGTATTCTCTGATGTTCTTCAATGCTTGTAATTGCAATTAAAGTAATGTAAATTCACGTCCTTTATGGGGAGTTGTATAGTAAAAATCTTAATTTTTTATGTTTGTATGTGTAGTACAGAATGTAACAATGTTTTCTTAATATAAAGAGGGTTTTATTATTATTATATATATATATATATATATATATATATATATATATATATATATATATATATATATATATATATATATATATATATATATATCATAGTAAAATACTCTTCCAATATATTTTTTTTGTTTTTACTTCATCGGATTTTGTCAGAATGGCAGTCCTTTTGTTTTCAAAACTCTCATTTGTTATCTTTTGAATGAATTCATCTAGAAAGATGTTTTTCTCATTAAATGGTACAGAAAAATTTATTCTAATGTTTGCTGCAAAGCTTTATCTTCTATGACTGTTTATATGGCAAACGTGTTGCTTTTACTTGTTACCTGGGCAAGATGATTGGTTTCATAAGAGGATTAACTTGGACACTGATTTCTGAAAAATCACATTTTCAAATCTTCTTCAAACCACTTCTTATTCAAAAGATGTAAATGTGATTATAATTGCAACATTCCAGCAAGTTACAACATACCACTAAGCTGATCCTAAAATTTTTCAGTACTAGGTTGGAGAGTTTGAAGTAATGAGTCAAATAACTGTTTCTATACAATTAGAGACTAAACTAACTATCAAAAAGAGAAATAATGTTTATTTAAACAAAACATTGATATATAATGAATTACTTTACATTTGTATCGTATTTTTTAAAGACAATGTTTGTAACAAATGATATGCTTTATATTCCGGGTCAATGACTCCCATCTCATTCAGGTTTTTATCCAGTTTCCCTGATCCATTGAGCAAATGCTGCGATGACCCCTTGTTTTGCTTCTGGACGTAAATGTATCTTCACTGTGCACACGTTTTGTTGAACTCTCCTTTTGCTTGTAATGGTAAGATTAGAGGTTAATTTGAGAGTTGCTGTTTTGTTAGCAATGCAGAAAAATCATTCTTCCAATTCGTGTACCAATGCAAATAAGTTTTCAATAATTCAGAAACAAAAAGAACTATTTGTCAACTATTGCCAATCTTGCTATTTTTAAAATCTATTTTTATTTCTTCATGTTAAACTTTTACTCATCTTTCAACTATTTATAGTTGAAATGACGGGAAGGGATTCTGGAATTTAAGAAAACGTGCGCATATAACCTTTTCCCTCCTGTCACATTCAGTTTTTACTGTTTTTTGACTGAATACAGACTTGTTACTGAATACATCTACATCTACATCTAAATCTAAATCTAAATCTAAACCTAAAATGAAGGTGTGAAAAATGGGGCTTTGACATCCCTTACTTGGCATTTAAATTACTTTTATCATACAATTTATGTGTAACAAGTCTGTTAATAAAATGCTGTGCTGACTGGTATTTATTATTATTATTGTTATTATT